GCTGAACCTCACCGAGGAGGGGGACAGAATGATTTTTAGGAGGTAGCATGGCGTGGTCGCCATCTATATCACTTCACAGAGGTGTACCGAAAGCCTCGCGTATACGCTACCTTTTTTTTTTTTGTTTCCCCCCTTTTTTCCCCGTTTTTTCCCCCGCCGATGTATCCCAGCAGTCTTTGTTACACCTGAACATTGGCCAAGTTGACAGCCATTGGTTCCCGCAGACCCGCAGTAATGGCAGCTTCTGCCGGGTGCGCAACAGGAAAATTACAAAAGAGAAAAAAAAATAAAAAAAAAATTAAGGGTCCTTTGTCTCAAACTCCATCGGACCTCGCTCCCCAAATGTATGGACCGCTTATTTATAAGGAGAAAGTCACCAAGACAAATACTAGGTAGGCTGGTCAACTTACATATAGTGGATTTGACAAGCATCTGCTATAGTACAGAAGATTTGTAAACACTAAACAATGTTTTTACCTCCTTAAAAGTTTTGAGAAGTTGCCAGTATTGGCAGGAGGCACAGACTCCGAAACGTGCTTGAAGATACGTGCCAAAACCATTGTGACCTTTTCACCCATAGTGCTCGCTTCTCTTTTTCTTGCCTTTTTTCTTTTTTTTCTTTTTTTTTTTTTTCTTTTCCCCACTCTTCATCTTCTTTTTTTTGGAGGGAGTATTCTCTTCCAAGATGCCCTTGTTCGAGATGACTTCAGCAGTGAGATGTCCCTTTCCTTCTAAACATGTACGATAATTATTGCTTTGAATCCATGCTTTTTCTTCAGTAGGCACTATCATCTGTAAGGGAACACATGTGCACAGATTTAAATAGTGCTTCTTACAAAGCTACTGAAATCAATTATTCTCTTTAAGAACTGGCTAGAAAGAGAAAACAAAAATATGCAAATAGGCAAACTACATGTCATTTTCGTTTTTTTTAAAAAAAAAAAGAAAGAAAGAAAAAAAAGGAGAGGAAGATTGGTGTTTTGTGAATTAGAGGTTGACCAAAAATGTATTGAAATCTAGAGTATTGCTCTCAGTTTGCAGTTTCTAATCTGCTTAACTAAAAGCAGGCGGCATTTTCATACCCTGAACTTGGGTTCGCTTTTTAGTTTTTACTTATTCTGCGCTTGTATCAAATGACAAGTTGGAAACCATTGTGGCAAACCGTTTTCTTTGTGGGAGTCGAACAGTAAAGCTAATTTATGACCGGTCCTTTACCAGATGATCTGTATCAGAATCTACAATATACTAGGCACGTGGCAAGGTCACAATTTAAGTTGTTAAGGTCACAACCTTAGCCACCAGGCATTTGACCTTTTAGATAAAGTTAACCTTTGTTCATTAGTAGGCACTCAACCGAGAACTTTCTGGAGTTTTTTTTTTACTGCTTTGGAGTTCCTTCTGCTAATGTGATCAGATTGGAGAATAGATTCGCAATGGAAGTAGTTAAATTTTGTGAGAGGTCACAGTTTTTTAGAGACTTCTCCAGTGGACGAAGCTGGGTGGCAGGCCAGCATGCTGCGACGCCTGCTTTATTTTTTTTGGACGGTCATCGTTATGCGCTCCAGGCGAGAATTAAGCTAGCGAGGTATTTGTGGCAGAGAAAAGCTTTTAATCTTTTAGAAGGACGTTTAAAAATCGCAAATTTAAGAAAAATCTGGGGATAGGGTTTTATTTACACGAGCTCATTTTTTTGTTGTTGTTCGTGTTTAGAATAGAAGCCAGTGAAGATGCAAGAAGTTGGCCTTATTTTCCGCGACTGTGAAAATTTACTTAGCATCTAAATACGCTCTGTAGCTAATTGCCTGGGCAATAGTATAAAGCACACGACCTTGAACTTTATGCAGACCCATTTTATGTTCCCATCGGCCGATTTAAAATATTTCTACTTGGACCACCGCTAAGAGGCATCATCGATGGGAATAACCCAAAGATGGGTTAATGCAGAAAATAGCCAAAATACCCATGGAGGTGTCTATGGAGGAGTCCAAAAGGTACATAAGGTTTTGCGCCCTAATCTTTTAGTACAATTGGTATTGATTGTTGCTGCATTAATCCTGTTAATAGCTGCAGCCGGTTCGGTGTGTTGCAGGGATGCAAGAGGTGTCCTGACAATACTGTACATCACCAAAAGAGCTGTCGCAGCGTCTCAAACTCCTGATAGCCGCTTTGCAAAAGTGGAGCGTTCGACGGTGGAAACTGCTGCCGGCTCATATAGAAACACACACCATATTGTTTACTTAATTATGCCGTAGCGAAGGCTCATTTTTAATTATTTAGCCGACTTTCTCGCTTTGCTGTGATACCACATTTATTATTTAATTTAAAAATCAAAAGGGCTGCGCTACTGTTAGTTTTTGATGCATTTTACTTTTGTTTTGGCTACGTTATTGTCATTCCATCGTACAGTAATCCAGATAGCCGTGATATGCAGATTGGCCAGATGGTCATGTTAACAGATTGAGAACCCACTTCCCACTGCTAAAGAGCAGGTGTAAGATCAGTGGGCTTCCCCCCCCTCCCCCCTTTTCCTCCCAAGTTTCAACCAAAATGCTCTTTAGACAGCTCATAATGGTAGTTAAAAAGGGGCACATTTCAAATGGTGTTTGTTCTGTGGAGCTAATATGTAATATATATGTCAGTTTTACACGTATCTGAAGACTTTTAAAGCATCCGTGACATTCCCTCTGTATATAAGGCTTTTGAAAACCTACTTCCAGCCCATGACTGTTCTATTGTACGTCCAAAACGGTCCTTAAAGTTTTGTTTGTGATGTTAATATTCCCTACATA